TTACACAAACCATAGCGAAATAAAACATACTTTATTGGCTATGTTGTCTGTGGTGAAACATTTATGATTTTAGTGATTAGGGATACATCACTACTACAGAAAAGGGGAATAGTGCCGGTTGGGAAACCATCTTCGATGCCAGTTTTCCCAACCGGCACAAGAGAGGCGGCACAGATTGCAAATCAAAAAGGTGCCAGATCCTTAGAACCGGCACCTTTTAGGTTCGAGGAATAAAAAAAAGCCGGCTCGATTGAGCCGACGCATCGAGCCGAGCAGTCGCTCCTCCCACATCCACAAGAAAGAAAATTTGGCAACATTCATCTCACAAAATAAATCACTGAATCACATTTGAATCACTGAATCAAACATTTGAATCAAGCAATATTCATCTCACAACAAAATTTGGCAACATTCATCTCACATCAAACATTAGAATCAAGCAGCCGCAAGCGAAGGAGATGGTTGGGGGTGCTCACCGTCGCCCGTGGGGAGCCCACCGCCATCGTTGCCGCAAGCAAAGGAGATGGTTGTCGTTGCCGGATCTGGCGGAGGGGAGGTCGCCGCCGCCGCCGCCGATGGCTGTGAGCCACGCCACTTGCCGCCGCCTCCCCTCATGCCGCCGCCTCCCCTCCCGTCGGATCTGGCCGAGGGGAGGACGCGGTCGCCGCTGCCGCCTCCGCCAACCAACCGCCGGCAGCGTGCAGGAGAGAGAAGAGAGCGAGACGAGGGAGAAGAGAGCGAAACGAGAGAGAGAGAGGGAGGGAGAGAGAGAGAGGGAATGAGACGAATAGACGATGAGAGCAAGACGTCGAACCTTATCCGATGCTCGTCTCGTCGTGTGGGGGCCACCGGTCGGCTCATCCGATGCCATCTCGGCTTGATTCACATAGATATCGGTTTTTTAAAAAAATAAACTGGCACCTATAATATATAGTATGTGTCGGTTTTTAATTAACCGACACCTACAAGGAAAAAGTACGAATTACCCCCCCCCCCCGAACTATCGCGGTCATCCGAATTACCCCCCTAAACCACAAAACCAGACATTCTTCACCCCAAACTATGCAAACCGGACGAATTACCCCCCCTCGATCCAATCCGCGGTGGTTTTGGTCTACGTGGCATCCCAGTCAGCGTTTTCTAATAAAAAAAATTGTGGGACACGCATGTCATAGTCTTCACTTTCCCCTCTCTCTCACTCTTCCTCTCTTCTCTCTCTCACTCTTCACTTCTTCACTCTATCGGCGCGGCGGGAGGCACGGAGGAGCGGGCGGCGAGCGGCGAAAGGCGGCGCACGGGGGCGGACGGCGGCGTCGCGGCGAAGTGAGCGGAGGCGGCTGCGGGCATGGCGCACGGGGGGCGGGCGGCGGACGGCGGCGTCGCGGCAACGCGCATGGGGGCGGGCGACGAGGTGCCTCGCCGCATACCACTCCGCGCGTCCCGTGGCGAGATCGACGGCATCGACAAGACGGAGAGGCAGGCGGGCGGCGGCGGACAGGCGGACGAGGCGGGCGAGGCGAGCGGCGGCGAAGAGGCGGGAGGCGGCGGACAGGCGGACAAGGCAGGGGAGGCGAGCGGCGGCGGACAGGCGGACAAGGCGTCGGAGGCGCGGACGAGGCGGGCGAGACGAGCGGCAGCGGAGAGGCGAGCGAAGCGGGCGGCGGTGGAGAGGCGAGTGGCGGCGGAGAAGCGGACGAGGATGCCTCTACGCCCCGCGCGGTCGCCGCCGCTGCTCCCTCCCGGACCTCCCCCGCACCCACATCCGCTGCAAGGTCCGCTCGACGCGCTACGATGACGGCCGCGCGCGGTGGCTCGTCGACGCTGTCGACCTCGCCACGGGACACGCGGAGCGGTACGTGTAGAGGCACCTCATCGCCCGCCCCCGTGCGCCGCGCTCGCAGCCGCCGTCCGCAGCCCGCCCCCGTGCGCCGCGCCCGCAGCCGCCTCCGCTCGGCCTTCGCCGCGACGCCGCCGTCCGCCCCCATGCGCCGCCTTCCGCCGCCCGCTGCCCTCTCCTCTGTGTCTCTCGCTGCCGCCGATAGAGTGAAGCAGTGAAGAGTGAGATAGAGTGAGAAAGAGAAGAGAGGAAGAGTGAGAGAGAGGGAAAGCGAAGACTATGACATGCGGGTCCCACAATTTTTTTTATTAGAAAACAGCTGACTGGGATGCCACGTGTACGCCACGTAGACCAAAACCACCGCGGATTGGATCCAAGGGGTAATTCGTCCGGTTTGCATAGTTTGGTGTGAAGAATGTCCGGTTTTGTGGTTCAGGGGAGTAATTCGGACGACCGCGATAGTTGGGGGGGTTAATTCGTACTTTTTCCCACCTATAATATATTAAAGGTGCTGGCTTTTTAAAAAAAACCAACACAAAATATAATAGGTGCCGGTTTTTATTTAGAACGGAACCTATGATTACTTAAAGATACCTTTTTTTCTAATTTCAACCCACGAAGGTATGAAAAGGCCTATTGGTGCCGGTTTTAGCACTACCGGCACCTATAGTGGTGACACCTATTTGATGTTTTATAGTAGTGCCTCTTTCAAGCTGTAGACAATATAACACATAAGTTCGTTCTCTAAAACACATTCAAAGAGGCATCCCTAATCACTAAAATCATATTCAAAGGTTGCCATGTATGCATTTCATCGTTGTTTTTTTTAACATTATCTTTCAAATCGTTAATAACAAATGTATAAAAGTTTTGCTCATTAAATATTTTTGGTTGTTTAGTTAATTTTTCTCAGAGCTTATCAGTCTTAGTTCAAATGATTGGAGTTTCTCCCAAGAACGCAAAAGCTTTGTGAGCCATTTCATTAGATGTGGAAAAAAGACCCAAAAAATGCCTATATAGATAGAGCCCCAACAACATATGAACATGGAAAAAATAAAATATAGTATGTAACAGGTGAAAGGTTGGAGCATTGCATTGTATTAAAAAAAATTATGCAGAAAACTTTCACCTGTTGACTTTCTTATGTTATTATGCGCTTCAAGAATAACCCGCGGGATATAGACATATAGTAAGGGTAAAATGCAGGAGTAGATGCTTTCTTGAGTTTTATTCTAAACTAGTAGATAGTACTTTGAATCTTACTTTCATGCATTAATAGCAAAATGATTGACAGTACTCGTACTAAAAAGGTTTAATCTACAAAGGAAACATCTACCTCACATGACAAATCCATGCTTCCAACAATAAACAAAAGCAACTAGGTTACTATCTCCCATACTGATCCAGTTTAGGGGCAGTAAATATATGCCAACTGGGAACTATTGTTGTCACTAAAATTAGCTTCAGGCCAATAAACAAGTGTAACTAACATATGAATGTAATAGTACCTCTAATTCCAGAACCTCTATATTTATAGAGCATCTACATGAAACTGGTATTGCCCTGCTATCTATGCCACCTAATAAATGTCTCCTAATAGCACAATACATTTATTTTAAATTAATAAACAATAATTACTACGATAACATTGAAAGAGGTAGTCATTTTTTTCAATTAATTAGAAAACAATTACATAATCCCAAACCCGTATCATACTACTACTAGAAACCGCATTATGGCTGCCAAACTAATACACAAATCATAAATCCTGATATCGTCTACTATTAGAAGTATGAAACCCGTTTTCACAACATTAATTGTCAGTTTCTTATAAATAGATCATCACTGAAAATAATGTGTTAATATCATCACAACTTTTTAAGAACACTATACCCTCGTTTCCTGCGTATATGTTTCTCAAACTATTAAACGATGTTATTTTTTTTGAAACATTTTTGTTGAAATTTTACTGTAGAAAAATCATAATGATCTATTTCCAAGTCTTTTTAATACTTAATTAATCATGCTTTGATGAACTATCTTATTTAGGTTGTGTTTCTTTTCAAATATACCTATCTAAATTTATAATTCTTGGATATATCACATCGCACTTATTTTGAGACCGATAGAGTATACTACCACCGTCCTAAATTGCTTTTCCTTTAAAATTGTTTGGCATATTCTAAGGTTTAGAATAAAAAACTACAATACCCTTATAAAAAAAATTATGTTTTAAGAATAGAAGGTTGGTTGACAGAAGTTTGAATGATATGTGATTGATGAGACAAGTAATACTTGGAAGTGACAAGTACTGTGAGACAAAAATTAAATGGTAGAAAGATAACTAAGGTTGTGTTTGGTACTGGAGGATGAGGATGGGAACATATCTTCTCCGTACGAAAAACAAAGCGGTCTATTAGCACGTAATTAATTAAGTATTAGCTATTTTTTAAAAAATGGATCAATATAATTTTTCTAAGTAATTTTCGTATAGAAATATTTTGCAAAAAAACACACTGTTTTGTTTAGTAGTTTAAAAAGCGTGCGCGTGGAAAACGAGATGGGGAGTGGGAACTTTTGGTATCCAACACAGCCTAATTTGGGATGGAGGAAGTAGTACAATTTTAGCAGGATGTAAACAAGAGTTCATCCCTTGTGAGTCCACACAAGGACCCTATGCAGAGGAGCCGGCCAAACAGGAAGTACATTTTGCAGTAGAAAAAAAAAACTGCTGCTTTTTCGGTTTCCCCCAGTATTGTTGGCCCCTCTCTTTTGCTGTCCCACTCCCAAATATTCCAATCCTCCCTGGCCCTCTTCTTCTCTCTCTCTCTTCTGCTGCTTCTCATCTTCTTCTTCTTCATTGTTCCGCTTCTCCCTCCCTGCCTCACAGTCGCAGCAGCAGCAGCACCACGCCAATGCTGCCTCCCTCCAAAGTGCCCCCTGTTTTGCTTCCGCTTTGACCCTCTTAAAAACCTCAATAACTCCAAATTTTCCCACCGCCTAATAATCCCCATTACCGTCTCCTCTGAATCGTTGGATTTGATACCCCCAGGGATTCAGAGAGAGAGAGAGAGAGAGAGAGCCAAGAAACCCTGTAGCTGCTGTAGGACGAGTAGGAGTAGGAGTGGTTTTGCTTCCTCTGTTCTTGTGTTGGGATTGAGGAATGAAGAGCCCGTCTCCCGTGGATCCTGAGTCGCCGAGTTCTCCCGATTGCAAGGTATGGGTTGGGTGGTGGAGGTCGTGTCATGTTTGATGGTTAATGGTCTAATCTTGTCGGGTTTGCGAGGGTTGTGGTGGTCGTGATTGATTGATTGATCATGGTGTTGTTGAATCTTGGTGCGATCTTGGATTCTTTGCTAATGTGTGTGTGCGCGTGTGATTTGATTTGGGTGGGTGGATGGATGGAGCAGGGAGGGAGCAGCAGCAAGAGGAGGCGGCTGCCATGGCGGATGACGATGAGCCTGGCGTACCAGAGCCTCGGGGTGGTGTACGGCGACCTGAGCACGTCGCCGCTGTACGTGTACAAGGCGGCGTTCGCGGAGGACATCCAGCACTCGGAGACCAACGAGGAGATCCTCGGCGTGCTCTCCTTCGTCTTCTGGACGCTCACCCTCGTCCCGCTCCTCAAGTACGTCTGCGTCGTCCTCCGCGCCGACGACAACGGCGAGGGCGGCACCTTCGCCCTCTACTCCCTCCTCTGCCGCCACGCCCGCGCCGCGCTCCTCCCGCCTGGCGGCGGCGGCGGCGGCGGCGAGCCGGGCGACGAGGACCAGTTCTTGGACGCGGGCGCCGACAAGAAAGCCGCGGCGAACGGCAATGCGCTGGCGCTGAGCGGGCGCGGCGGCGGAGGCGGCGCCGCCGCCGGCGTGAGGAGGCTGCTGGAGCGGCACAAGGTGCTGCAGCGCGTGCTCCTCGTGCTGGCGCTGGTGGGCACGTGCATGGTCATCGGCGACGGCGTGCTCACGCCGGCCATCTCCGGTGCGTGCGCGCCCCCGCTTGATTTGCTGGCTTGTTTGTGTTCTTGGGTTGTCGTGTGCTGATTTTCAGATGGCGTGTTCTGTTTTTGCAGTGTTCTCGGCGGTATCCGGGCTGGAATTGTCCATGGAAAAGCATCAGCACAAATGTAAGGATCTGAACACCCAACCATGCCTTTGTCCCTTCCATTGTTTCTGTCTTTTGATATGATTGTAGATTTGTCTTCCTCATCTTGTTAACTACTGTTTCCTGGATCATCATGTTCTGAGTTTTTTTAGATAATTCAGGGTCCACCTCAAACTCAAAAGGGTGCAGTTTCTTGTTTTTTTAGTTGAAAAAAGTGTGCAGTTTCAGTCATACTAGTGCACCACAATTCGAGTAAATTTTACCTGTAAGATGCACGCAAGAGATGGATTCTGTGCAATTTGGTGTTCGTAAAACCAGGAATTATGTTAACTGATGAAGTCTGAACAGTTTGCTTCAATGGGATTGATACTTTTGGAAGTTTCCGTGCGAGCTTATCGGCTCAGATATCAGATGATCAATTGCGTGCCAAATTCATTTAGGAAGGTCTTTGACAGGGAATGACCATGAGCAACGCAGCGTTGTCGCATGGACACCAACAATCAACTCCGTACTGTTGTTAGTCAATGTATGCCTAACAGTTGTTGCTATAATGCTATTAGCCTACGAACTGGAGAAGATTAATACTCTTATCTAGTAGCATTGATGACTACAATAAATGGAACTACCCTACTCAAGCAGTTGTGATTCTTGTGAAGAACTGTAGTGGGAAACAGAAAGAAAAGATTTGAGCGATTCCTAAATAAGCCGGTCATCATCTAAATTACTGTATCTGTTCAGTTCATATTCTCTTGGGCTTTGGCAGAGGATAGAGTTCACTCTGGGCAGAAATATGGTCAGCTAGTGGTAATAAGGTTCGGAAATTCTGGAAAATGGAAGCTACACATGCTGAAAGTAATAAAATAAGTGCTGAATTCTGAAGTGCGGAGTAAAGAAACTCTATTTTGACTTTTAATCATTTAAGCATGTGCTTTTATTCTGATTCTTGTTTTGCTAATATGTTTTGTTTCTTTTTTAACCCATTACTAACTGTGCAAAGTTTTTTTTACTGATTTGAATCTGCAGATGTGGAGGTTCCTATTGCTTGTTTTGTACTGGTTTGCCTGTTTTGTCTGCAACACTATGGTACACACCGGGTGGGGTTCCTTTTTGCACCAATTGTGATTACATGGCTTCTATGTATAAGCATGATTGGTGTTTACAATATCGTGCATTGGGAGCCCAATGTCTATCGAGCGTTATCTCCATATTATATGTACAAGTTTTTGAAGAAGACGCAGAGAGGAGGTTGGATGTCACTGGGAGGAATATTGTTATGTATCACTGGTACTATGATCAACAACCATTTTCTACCATATGCCAATGATCTCTGAAGTGTACAACTTTACTAACTTGAGTGTTGTTTTTCAGGTTCTGAAGCAATGTTTGCAGATCTGGGGCATTTTAATCAGCTGTCGATACAGGTGATGAAATAGAGTGCAATCTCAATGTTTTGTTTTACTTGGTTTCATCATAGTAGCAATATGCGGACATGCGGTCAATAGTTTTGTCTCTGATAAGCATTTCCTGATTGCAGATTGCTTTTACTTGCATGGTTTACCCATCCTTGATCCTTGCATACATGGGGCAAGCTGCTTATCTGTGTAAGCATCACATCATTGAAAGTGACTACAGGATCGGGTTCTATGTGTCTGTGCCTGGCAAGTCATGTTCTCCAGATCTTTCATCAACAGCGAAATCGATATTATATCATTCTCCTAGTACTGTTTATTAATATTTAAAAGTTTTCCATCCTCAGAGAAAATTAGGTGGCCAGTTCTGGCAATTGCCATTCTTGCAGCAGTTGTCGGGAGCCAAGCTGTTATCACTGGCACATTCTCAATGATCAAGCAGTGCACCGCTCTCGGCTGCTTTCCTCGGGTGAAGATAGTTCACACATCTGACAAAGTACACGGGCAAATTTACATCCCTGAGATCAATTGGATCCTGATGATACTGTGCTTAGCTATTACCATTGGTTTCAGAGACACAAAACACCTGGGCAATGCGTCAGGTATGTACCACTTGTTTTAGTTTTTGACATATCAAACCACCTGATTATTCCATGTTCGAATTACCTATGCATACTGAAGCTAATGAGTAAGGAATTTGTCTGATATGCAATAGTTGTCCTTTGAACAGGATTGGCGGTTATAACCGTTATGCTGGTCACGACATGTCTGATGTCCCTGGTGATAGTTCTGTGTTGGCACAAGAGCATCTTCCTCGCATTCGGCTTCATCATCTTCTTCGGCACCATTGAGGCACTCTACTTCTCAGCATCACTCATCAAGTTCAGAGAAGGAGCCTGGGTCCCAATTGTGCTGGCCTTCATCTTCATGGCGATAATGTGCATCTGGCACTATGGCACCATCAAGAAGTATGAGTTCGATCTCCAGAACAAGGTCTCCATCAACTGGCTCCTTGGCCTCAGCCCCAACCTCGGCATTGTCCGAGTCCGCGGCATCGGCCTCATCCACACCGAGCTCGACTCTGGGATCCCGGCAATCTTCTCGCATTTCGTCACCAACCTACCTGCATTTCATCAAGTAATCTTGCTCATCAGCCATCATTCCTCGCCTTCTGAAGTTGTTGTCATTGTTCAGAAATTCAGAATTTTGGTTACAGTGCTCATCATCTTCTTCTTCTTGATGATGATCAGGTGCTCATCTTCCTCTGCATCAAGAACGTCCCGATACCGCATGTCTCGCCGGAGGAGAGGTTCCTCGTCGGAAGAATTGGCCCCAAGGAGTACAGAATCTACCGGTGCATTGTCAGGTACGGCTACCACGACGTGCACAAGGACGATCAGGAGTTCGAGAAGGAGCTCGTCTGCAGCGTCGCGGAGTTCATCCGCTCCGGCGCCGCCGCCGCGGCCGACGCCGCGGCCTCTTCCAAGCCCAAGAACGTCTGCGGCGGCGGCGCGGAGGAGTCGGAGAAAGAGGAGGAGGAGCGGATGTCCGTCATCCCCTCCGGCAGCATTCGGATGATGGAGGAGGACGGCGGCGCGGGGGCGCCGTCGTCGGAGGACACCGTCGGCGGCAGCGGCAGCGGCAGCGGCAGAGGCAGCTCGCGCGGCGGCGGCGGCGCAAGGGAGATCATGTCGCCGTCGCCGTCGCCGCCGCCGGTGGTGGTGGCGCCGAGGAAGAGGGTGCGGTTCGTGCTGCCGGCGGCGAGCCCGCGGCCGGACGCCGGCGTGCGGGAGGAGCTGCAGGAGCTGATGGACGCGCGCGAGGCCGGCATGGCGTTCATCCTCGGCCACTCCTACGTCAAGGCCAAGAGCGGCTCCAGCTTCTTCCGGCGGCTGGTCATCAACTTCTGCTACGACTTCCTCCGCCGCAACAGCCGCGGCCCCAACTACGCCGTCACCATCCCTCACGCCTCCACCCTCGAGGTCGGCATGATTTACTATGTCTAATACAAAAAAAAAATCAAACCACCATAGATAGATAGAAGAACAAGAAGAGAGACAAAACAGGAGACGAATCGAAACAAAAATGAAGTTTCGCTTGTATATCCTCGATCTTGTAATTGACCCGAGAGTTTTTGTTGTAAATGTAGTAGCCTGATTTCTCCTAGGTCTCGGATTTCATCTTGTATACACTACTAATCTGAGCGGCGCAGAGATGCGACGCCATTAGAGCGAGCTCGAATTCGGATAGAAGAGAGTTGGGCAGCTGGATCATGGGCTCCGTTGGCTTGGCGCGAATGCTGAGGTCGCTGTGCGTCGCCGGCGATCTCGCTAGGGCGGTGGGTCTCCTGTGGCGGAGTACGGTGTGCCCCGGTGAGGGGACCTACGCGCTTCTGCTGCAGGAATGCGTGAACCGGCGGGACGCGAGGATGGGGAAGAGGATCCACGCGCGCATGGTGTCGGTGGGGTTTGGCGGCGGCGTCTACATCGTCACCAAGCTGCTGATCTTTTACGTCAAGATCGGTGAGCTTGGTGTTGCGCGGAAGGTGTTCGACGGAATGCCGCAGAGGAGCGTCGTGGCGTGGAACGCCATGATATCCGGGTGCGCGCGCGGCGGCGCGGAGGCGCGGGCGGTGGAGATGTTTGGGTCGATGCGGGCGGAGGGGATGAGGCCGGACCAGTTCACGTTCGCGTCGGTGCTCTGCGCGTGCGCGAGGCTGGCCGCGCTGGAGCACGGCCGGCGCGTGCACGGCGTCATGGTCAAGTCGCGCGTCGGCGGCGGCAACGTCTTCGTCGACAGCGCGCTCGTCGACATGTACCTCAAGTGCAGCAGCCCCGAGGAGGCGCGCCGGGCGTTCGCGGCGGCGCCGGCGCGGAACGTCACCATGTGGACCGCCGTCATCTCCGGGCACGGCCAGCACGGGCGCGCCGCGGAGGCGCTGGCGCTGTTCGACCGGATGACGCGGGTGGACGGGCTCCGGCCGAACGACGTCACGTTCCTCGCCGTGCTCTCGGCGTGCGCGCACGCCGGGCTCGTCGGCGAGGGTCTGCGCCACCTCTCGTCCATGTCGTCGGGCTACGGCCTCACGCCGAGGGGCGAGCACTACGCGGCGGCGGTCGACATGCTCGCCAGGGTCGGCCGGCTCGGCGACGCCTACGAGCTCGTCAAGAACCTGCCGGACTGCCAGGAGCACTCGGTGGTCTGGGGCGCGCTGCTCGGCGCCGGCAGGAAGCACGGCGACGTGAGGCTGGTCGAGCTCGCCGCGCGCCGCTTCTTCCGGCTGCAGCCGGGGAACGCCGGCAAGTACGTCGTCCTGGCGAACGCGTACGCCGCGCGCGAGATGTGGGGCAGCGTCGCCGGCGCGCACGAGGCGATGCGGTCGCTGGGAATCAAGAAGGATCCGGCCTGGAGCGCCGTCGAGGTCCGGGGCAAAAGGCACACCTTCCTCGCCGGCGACTCGTACCACGACGAGCGCTCGGCGATATACGCGGCCTGCAACGCGTTGGCCGCCGCCGTCGCCGAGCAGTCCGTGCCTCCGGTTATGGATGGAGATGATGCCAGCCATTGCAGCTGAGCTGATTGGTGATGTGAAGTGGCATTGCATTTTCATCATTTGAGATGTTGCTTCTATGAAGCAACAAGCCTGCTAAATGATCGATTGTCAGTTGTCAGTTGTCACTCGCTCAATTTCATGAACATTTGCAAATTTTGCATCCTCTTTCAAAGAGGGTTCAAAGAGATCACAGGGCCTGTAGATTTTTTGCAACTTGAGAACTGTTGTGCCCTTGTTCTAGACCCACTGCAATTTTGATCTGTTATTAGCCGGGTTCGGGCTGCAACTACAAAAGTTGCATCTTGGAGAAATCTGATGCATGAGAAAATTGGCGCCAAGATAAACATATGGGAGAAGGTCCGGAGCAAACGACATGAAAGTACACCATTGTAATGTATTTACCCTTTTGCTCTATCCCAGTCACTGATCACGACCTTGCTTCCAGAATACTAGCATTATGTAACACAAGATCACATCACCTGTTCATGTTATTGAGATTCAGAACACTTTGAATGACATCTGGTCCTAGTCTGTGGTTTGGATCCTTGCAGACTTGCAGAGCCATGAAACAAATCCTCACTGTTCTCGAGTCACATGCAGATCCTCGAATGTCAGCAGTTCAGTAAGAATCAAATGTCAGTATGCGGATTGCCAGGAGACAGAAATACAGACAGGCAGACAGACAGTACTGATTGTACCATGTGAAGAGGAAGTTTCTGAATGAAACACATGACAGAATCATCAGTGTGGTGACTGGTGAACTCAAAGAGAGTCTGAGACAAGAGATGGAACAGTAGAGGTCAGCTTCTGTGTCAGTATCTCTGTTTCTCCTCAAAATACTGTATCTCAAATGGATATTCCCAGATTACACTTGAACATTAGGAGAAAGAAAAGTTAAAGCAAAGATGTACAGCCTCTCTTTTGTACCAGGTGAGCATATTGAGGAACCAATACATATTATTTTTTCTTCCTGTTCCCAGAACTAAAGCTACATGCTAAAACCAAAAACTCCAATTTTTTTCCTGTTTGCAGAAAATATAAAGCTTTTAACAACTCCTATCTTTCCCACTACAGATTCTGCTAAGGTGACACAGAGACTCTGAACAGACTGCTAGATCATCACAATTGTAATGCACATAACAGCATATTCCTAGCAGCTAAAAGCCTTATCTATTGCTTGTTTTGCAGTGCTTTTACACTTCATTGTTGTCAGGAAACTTTGCACTTGCACACAGGAGAAGCCTGCTTGATCTGTCATCTTGTTGCATACCTAACACCATGAGACTGGAAAGAACCAGAGCCGGTCGTTGATCCAAGATGGATAGCCTCATCGAGGTTCTGTAATCAGTGCGGGACAATTGTCCCCACATAGCCCACACCGATGATGAAAAAGGTGATGGATTGGAGAAAAAGGAAGAGACTGTAATAGCCCTTCCCATAGGCAATATCATAGCATCCACAGAAGGACAGGTAGGCTGAAAAACCAAGCTCCAATGCATTCACCCTGGTTCAAGATCAAAGTTTAGCTGCAAGGATTGGAACTTGGAAAATGCAGGACTAAAATGTTTCGACTGCGTACCTGTCTCCTATCCTCATGCGCGGCCTCCTGAATGCTTTACCTGGCAATTTTAATTTCAGAGCATCGCCAAGCTTTTCGGTCACCACCCATTCATTCACCCTGCCTGTCTCTAACAGGCCGATCAGCGTGGCCTTTGTTCTATGCAGTGACATAACATTCTCGAAGAGGACCCAAAAGATAAGTAAGTGCAATGACCTGCATCATTGCATATTTTCATGTAAATTTTTAGGTTGCTCAGAACTGCAAAGCTCTGGAAGTAAAACTGTAGGTTGGGTACTGTAGGTTGGATTCATATTCTGAAAGTAAAACTGCAAAGCTATGGAGAAGATTTGGCACCTTGGAGTCCCAATAGAATTGAGAATGGTGACGATGGATGGCAAATAGACGTAACCCCACCTTGGTATCTCAACTTCTGGAATTAAAACCGTTGCCGGGACAACAAGGCAGTAAAACACAAAGGTCACAATGTGTCCAATAATCTTGCGCACCAAAAAGAAGTTGTAGATCACATAGATCTTCTTCCACAATGTCACTTTCTGCATCAAGATCAATGGCTTGTTAGCAACAAGATGCATGTGTGTTATAACTTATAAAATATTTCCATAATATAGCTTGGTGCAAGGGACCTTGTTTGTGGCAATCTCCACCAACATTTTCCTGAACAGGTTTGCCGGTCCGCAGGACCATCTGTGTTGTTGATACCGGAATGCTTTGAATGTACTTGGAAGTTCACTTTTCACCTTCAAACAACATTACCAGGTTAGTTACATCCTTCCTTATATAGCTTAATAACAATGTAATATATAGAAGCGCAAATTGATGCATTGGATATTGCATGAATTGTTAGGCTACTAGTGCATATTTACCATGAGATCACCAAGGTAGACAAACTTCCATCCCTTGAGGCCTGCTCTGACTGCCAAATCCATGTCTTCAACTGTTGTCCTGTCCTTCCAGCCTCCTGCCTCGTTCATCGCAGATATGCGCCACACACCAGCAGTCCCTATTCACATAACATTTTGCAGGGTAAAACAAAATATGCTGCTAAATATGACTTTTACTAGAGAAAATAAGTTCTCAACATTGAAAATCTTGTGCATGTGTTATATTCTTGCACTACTCTTTCCTTCTGCTTTGTGTAAGATCTAACTGGGTATTGTACTTTTTAAGGAATAAACTAGAATGATGCAATTGCATATGATTTTTAGATGTGGTTAACATGTCTTTTTCTTTCCAAAGATTACGAAACAGTTTCTCATTATTAAGTAAAATAAACATATGTACTCTACAGAAGGAGAGGCAGAATCATGGAACTGAGAAATGGATACACATAATGCCCCACAAGAGAGAAGAAAAAAGACAAGATGAATTGAGATCAAGTTTTACCATTGAAGCCAAAGAAGGCGTGTGTGGAGGAACCCACTTCTTGCTCTACTTTGAAGTGGTAATCCAAGGACATCTCCTGCATCCTTGTCATCAGGCATTCATTTGCATTCACTGCTCACACGCCATCACCACCGTCAGCAGCAACAAACATGTCATCACCATGCCAAAAGAAAAAAGTCCAAAACAAGGCCAGTGTGCTACACTAGTATAGTTTAAAAAGGACATTATATCATAGTATAGTTAAAAAAAAGGACATTATATCATATTATAGTTAAAAAAGGGCATTATATCATCAATGCCAAAGATAAGTCAAACAATTCAGTCAACCATACTGACAATTTTTACTCGGCCTTATCCAATAGTGATGCAGAAGATTTAACTATACTACTCCAGCTTTTTCAGAACAACGCACATGTCAATGTCATGGTCCAAAGGACTACAGTTACAAGTCACAGGTGCACATGATCCCCCAAATCACAAACCAAGGTCCAGCTTCCAAGTGTACTGCTCCCATGCTTTGGCTTCAACAACTAACCTTATCTCCAACTACTATAACTGCCGTGAACACTAAACTAATGCAGTGCACTCATTTCCTAAAACATACTCCTATCTGCTGCACTCACTGTTGATTATAGGAGTATGTGTGTACTCCTAGGTGCATGTGCTTTATCCGGGCCCTTTTGAACTGCCATTTTTATGCTGTTCCTATATCTGCTTACCACCATTCAGAAACCTAACCAACCACTCAATTCTTCTGACAAAGACAAATCCATTAACACGAGAGCCAAGGCAACCATTCAAAAACTAAAATCGTTTTACCAATAGCCACTTTGTGTTTTTTTTTAAAAAAATGTGACTTGGACTCATCTATGGACTTCTGGTTGTGTGTGGATGTAGAGGTCGGGTTTTAATCTATTATCTAAAAAACTACGACTTCTGACTCACCGAACTTCCAGCGGGCCTGGACGAGGGCGATGTCGGGGTTGTGGACGAGGAAGGGGATGGTGCGGGCGAGGAAGTCGGGGTCGGGCTGGAAGTCGGCGTCGAAGATGGCCACGTAGTCGCAGTCGCGGACGTAGCCGTGCTTCATGCCTTCCCTCAGTGCCCCGGCCTTGTACCCCACCCTGTTGTCCCTGATCTCGTACTTTATCCTCACCCCCTTGCTCTCCCACCTCTTGCACTCCACCTGCACCATCTCCTGCAGTTGCACTCATCGTCTCATTGTTAGCAAGCTCTATAATTAAGTGGCTTTTAACTAAATTTAATCCTGACTCTTCTTTTGCCACCAGTTATTTTTACTGCTAGTTAATTACTACTACAGTAAACCATTCTGGTAACGATTGCTAGTTAAATGCGGTATGGTTCAGATTGTTCCACCTCGGGAGTCGTGCGGTGGGACAAGGAGCTAGCCAGTCGAGTTGCCCATGAACTTTCGTGTAAAATGGAGTACTAGTACCAGAAAAATATAAATTCGCTGCATGATGCATCACGTCACTCCCTCCCTGTCCCTAGCTAGGCCAAGAAAAGAAGAACACTTCCAATATTTTCCTCAAAAAAAAATCCAAGTTTTTTCTCGGGGTTAAAATAATACAGCCAGCCAAAAATTCCTCAGTGAAAGTAGACTCGCTTGTTCTTGCGACTACGACAACAGAGACATGGCCTCTAATTTGTTTGTACCTACAATACGTTTTTCCCCGTGTGAAAAATTCGAAAGCTCTCGTGATGAAAAAAGTTTGAAAGCTCTTAGCGATGAAAAAATTTTGAAGAATACGACGCGCCTCATGCCGGCATGGTGTGGCCCCACCACGCAGCGGCGACTGTCAGTGACAGACAGCCGCAATTAATTTCACTCCTTGGACCAGACCAACGCCACTGGTGTGTCACTGACACGCGGGGACAGATAGCGCTGTAATTAAATGAAGTGAAAAAGGAAAAAAAAACGCTGGCTCTCACCTTGATGACGGGGTCAGTGGAGTCGTCGAGCACCTGCACGATCACCCGATCCGACGGCCACGATAGCCCGCACGCTGCCCCGATCGACAGCTTGTACACCTGCCACCCCAAAAAAAAAACAAAAAATAAACCCAAAAAACTTTTTAGTGCCCTTTTTTTTTCCTTTTTTTTTGGTTTTTTTATTTGAGTTTGCATTGCATGCATGGCGGATTGATTTGAATAATTTTGGTTACCTCGCGCTCGTTGTACATGGGGATCTGGATGAGGACCATGGGGAAGGCGGCGTTGGCGTCGGCGAGCTCGGGGTCGTCATTGTCGGCGCCGGCGGCGACGATGGGGTCGCACCGGTAGCGGCGGTCGGGGCGGCGGCCGAACAGGTGGACGCCGACGAGGACCACCGACATGTACACCTTCTCCACGAACAGCATCACGGACATGGCGAGGCACGCCGCCACGGACAGCCGCAGCAGCGGCACCACCACCGGCGCCTTCACCTGCTCCCACATCGCCGCGATCTGCTCCGGCAACACCGCCCCCGCCGCCGCCATTCTCGGGGCAAATGCTGAGACCACGAAGAAGCGAGAACACGCTAGGCGCGGAATGCGGCGGCGGCGGTGGCTGGCCGGCGGCGAGGAGGAGGTGGCGGTGGCGGTGGAGCTCGGAGGCGGCGAGGAGTGGGGATTAAATAGGCGGAGAGAGTGGCGGCTTCCGTCGGCTGTAGCACTGGGTAGGATAGGCTCAAGCGGGAGGGGAGGGGATGGTGGGGCCCAGCTGTAAGTGGCTCTGTCTGGCTCATGGGGCCCGCAGGTCAGTGAGATGGGGTGGTTGTGGGTTGGGTTGGGGGTTTTGTGATTTCGAAGTGTGATGATGCAAATGTGGACAGATGATTTTCTACCTGTGTGAATGCGCCTATTAAATTCGATTGCAATTTTGAGTAATTGAGATACGAGGGTTTTAAATGTATAAATGTGTTAGAGCTTTGATATCATTTATTGAGGATTTGCTCGTGATATTACTCTATTTATTGAATTTGTATCCACCAGATTTGATATGGTTAATATGGTCATTTAATGCTAGTCTGATTCTAGTATTGAGTAATTGAGATATAGATTCATCTTATGCATATTTAATTGCATTTTTATGGCATTTATAGTATTAGTTGGATTTATTGATATGGGTGGTTGATATGGCTGTACTCATGACGTAACTTGTGTTTAAGAACTACAACTACAGGATTTGACCAGAACGAAATATTTCCTATGCTATATTTCAAATGTGTTCGAAACAAGATTGGTACAATGTTACTAACGTGCCTTTCATATATTGATCTAACATATTTCTATCGTATCTCTTACTTATAATATATACGATTCATCCTGGCGGACCTAATAGAAATTTTACCTCATGATTCGAACCCTCCAAAATTTCATTATTGTGTTTTGATATGTTTTATGTATGTAAACTTTGTGTGATTAAATTTGAAACTACAATAATGGAGTAGTCTTGAAAACAAAGATATTATTGTATTGTAGTTACCTTTTTCTAAAACAATTCACGTGTGATAGTACGAGGTTTCATATCAATATAGTGAGAAAAAAAGACCAAAGCACTGGTAGGGTATAATCAAGAAAAACAAAAGTAACAAACTATGTTGCACATGCACCTACAACACAAGCACCCACTGCTAATGAAAATCCATTCATGCCTTTGGGTGGAGGGGGATATGGTGAAAGATAAGAATAGATCTGATCTCCCACCAGCATGGTTTTCTTGTGATGGCTATGGTGTCGTCCTAAGAGAACAATCCATTTGGAGAAGAGTTTGATAGAAACGAACCTTCAAACAACGCCTCCACGAAGGTTGTGACACTGTCGTCACCTCTTTTGGAAAATTAGGATGTGGTTTTCGACCAAAGAATTCCACCATGAAGAGAACGAGAGACGCAGATGATGCCGTCGTCGCTCACCATTAGGAAACTAGGATGTGATTTTTCACCTGAAGGATTCCACTAGAGAAAGAATGAGAGATACCACGAAAGCCCCCACCCCCGGGAGGGGGTGGGAGGGGGGGACTACGCCGCCCAAAAGCATCGGGACTGCCGCTCCTCAAAAAGACTGGGTTTTCGCTTGAAATCGTCGGCCCACTATTATGATTACGTCCCTACCATTAATAGCAGGCATCACCATCCAAGCACCTTCAGCGCGAGGCCGCCGCACTTGCCTTTATTTGTCGATTTTAGCAAATTTCTAGCAAACACTTTCTTATAGAAATAATCTAGCAAATATATATCAGATTTAATTAGGTATATTTGGCTATTAATTATATTTGGCTATTATTTGTTTTATATGGGTAGGTTGTAGTATATTGGGACGGAGGGAGTAGCTAAGAAGACTCAACCCTTTGGATGATCTTGTTACATATGTTGTAGGAGGTCTTTTCTTTTGCACCATTGAAACCCTTAGGATGCGTTAGAATCTAAAGGTTTTGGAACCTTTTCTCACTAACACGGAAAACAGGTGACACATTAGCGCATGATTAATTAAATATTAGCTATAGAAACTTAAAAATTTTAATATAATTTTTTAAAAACAACTTTCCTATATAATTTTTATATTAAAAATACATCGTTTAGTAATTTAGTAAAAGTGTGCTTATGAAAGACTGGTGAGTGGAAGATGGAAAGAGAGATTACTAAACCCAGCCTTAGTAACTTCATCATCATTGCAACCAAAAACAAGCCATATTTGAACAGGCATACTTCATACCATGAAACCAAACTTCAATGGGTTTTGTGCATGTTGCAACTTCTCCAAAGCGTTGTGCACAGGGGCAGAGACAGCGTGGGGGCGGGGGGTCTTGAAACCCCCCTACCCTCTAAAATTCTAATCCATATATTTATAGATGAGGGGCTAATATAGACTTTGTTTGAGGTTGTTAGAAGGCCCAAAAGACTAAAAAGGCTAAAAAATCCTAACCCAACCCTAAATCTCTCTTAGTTGTTCTTGGTCATTTTAGTTTAGCCCCCGCTATAACTTTATCCTGTCTCCGCCACTGGTTATGCACAGTATATGTTGTACCTTACCTATCTTAGATACATGTATAGTACGTATATGCTAAATGATCGAAGGGCGTCAACATTAATACAAGTTGATTTTAATTAACTAGGTAACCGCGAGCTCATATTTGAAAGCTACGACGGTGTCATGCATGGATTGAATCTGAGTGGACGGGATGAGTGCCATCCTTTTGCTTGCTTGCTTCCCTCGCTTCAAAATTGAAATGCTTTTGTAGTAAGCCCTGTCCGTTTGCCCGTTATGGCCGGGAGCGACGATCCAGCAGGCAAAATGCCAGAGCAGAGTGGCTTCTCTTTTTTGGTCGATCGCCCTATTGGTTGACCTAATAAACTAAAGTTAAAACTAAAATTTAATTTTTTTAAAGTTAATTTTAAGATATTTTTAATATCGGCTTTTAAGTTACTACGGAAAAAAAATATACAACAATTTTAACAATAAATTAATTTGTATTTCTTAATAAGCTATGCTATGGGTAACTGATATGAGGCAGATGTACGGTTCCTGTGATTTGGGTGGTACCCGCTCTGCAGCCGTGAAGATCTTGTCCTTCACTGCAGTCTGCAGGGAGGTGAGAAATCCGCACGCAAGATGGTCTGGTCGGTCCTCGAGTGGTACAGTGGGATGCGTCGTCGTAGTGGTGCCGTGGTAATTTCTTACTCGTCGTGTTGTCAAACCAAAAGTATTCCCTGATCTGTTGCGGAATGTTGTTTAGTGGAGGCTAAATTTATGAAAAGAAAACTGTGATATATCCCTTTTAGTTTTAAATATGATGTAATTAGATGTAGGAGGATGGTGAGGGTAAAATTGGATAATAATTAAACGAGAGGTGTTTGGTAGTAGTGTAGTATAGGGCAAATGGCCGTGTATAAATTTGGAAGGCAAGAAATGCTTATACTTGAATAGTGTTTTAGAATGAGTGTGGTCAAATTTCGAAAAAAAAATTGAGACAAAATTCAAAATGTGAACCTAGTGCTAGTAAAATGCAACCAAAAAATATTTGATATGTGAAAATGGTATTAGTAGATTTATCATGAAAACATATTCACATATTATACTATTACAAATAAATAATTAAAAACAATGATCATACTCTCATAGAGACTACCAATGTTTTTCATTGATAAAACTCTCTCCATCGGTGCTAATTTTCCTTTGGAAGGTCAAGGTACCTAAGAAGTGAAATGAAAGTTCTTTATGTAACATCTCCTTTCAAAATGAATGGCATAATTGTTTTTTTTCATAATATTTGATCATTTATCTTATTCAAAAATTTAGTATATTGTTATTGATATTTCTCATAATGTTTGATCATTCGTCTTATTTAAAAATTTAATATAAATATATGAAACTATAAGTTAATACTATATTTTCTTTGATAATAGAACATATCAAACGTTATGCGAAAAATTAACGGAGTCATATATTTTTTTTTTAAGGAGGAGTATCTTGTACTACGCGGGACGGCAGGAGCTGTTTGACGGCGGAGAATTTGGCACGGCGAGGTTGGCCTCAAGAACAAGTCTGTTCTCTTTGTGGTGTTTAGCCAACGACTTGCCATCACCTCTTCATGGCCTGTGCTTTCACAAGACAAGTGTGGGATAGGATCTGCACCCGATTACATTTCATTCGGAGCCCGGATATGTCAACTGACATGGAAACTTGGTGGCACTCTTCTCAGGCTGCCATACAAAACATCACAGTAGAAAATCTTAGACGTACAAACTATCTTGATTACTTGGATGATTTAATTCGCGACAGAAACACCGGGATCTTCGAAGGAGCCAGTAAGATCGCCATCGAGGTCTTCCAGTGCATATCGGAAGAATGGTGGCCATGACGAGCTGCTGGCTTTGGAGGTATCATGTTAGGAGCGAATTTTAAATTGGATTATTTGCGAGACTAAATTCTCAATTTAAATAGCTTTATATAGTCGATTGGATGTAAAGGCCGAGTAAAAAAAATACATTTGTAAATAACATTGAGCTGCTGGCTTTGGAGGCATCACGAACGAAGAGAGATAAGACATATGTTATCCTAGTTGTGTCATGTAATTAGGCGTTTACCGGTAAAAAACCTTTTCCTATTCTAGGGTTGGGTTATGTAAAGGGTTTACCTTACCGCCAGTTACCGGGCTTACCGTGGGGGTACGGTAATATAAATACTGCGGTAACCTCCTTAAATTCAAATAAATTTAAAAAATAATTTGAATTTTTGATAAATTTTGTACGGTTTTTCACGGTTAACGTGGTTACCGCACGATAACCGTGCTTACCGTCGGGGTGCGGTAACCCCGGCCCCGGCAGTTTGGGAAACCCTGTTTGTGTCCACAACAACCATGCTGGTTGTTTTATGTAAATCTTCTTATTTTTCTTAATATAATTGGTCAGGCGTTTCCTTTGCCGCTGTCCTGGCGAAAAAAAAATATATATAAGAGACTACCAACCCGTCATTGGAAGAATTTTTTTTATTTATAATTTTTCTTATTAAAAGTTTTACAAAAATAATTTTCCATTTTGAAAATTGACGGAAATAGTCGCCTACCGCCCTCTGGGAGGGCGATTTTTAAAAATCGCCCTCCAGAGGGCGGCGAAAATGACGTGGCAGACGGCCGTTCGCTCTCGGGCGA